GTCAGGCCCAGCTGGGTCCGGCGGCCACCAAAATATTTCGGGAATTTTGGGAAAATTTGGGAAAAATTTGGGAATTTTTGGGTGAAATTTGGGGGAATTTCGGGGTTTTTTGGGGGTTTTAATGGGATTTTAATGGGATTTTTTGGGAATTTTGGGCTCCCAGGTCAGGCCAAGCTGGGTCTGGTGGCCACCAAAATATTTCGGGAATTTTGGGAAAATTTGGGAAAAATTCGGGAATTTTTGGGTGAAATTTGGGGGAATTTCGGGGGGTTTTGGGGGTTTTAATGGGATTTTTTGGGAATTTTGGACTCCCAGGTCAGGCCCAGCTGGGTCCGGGGGCCACCGAAATATTTTGGGAATTTTGGGAAAATTTGGGAAAAATTCGGGAATTTTTGGGTGGAATTTGGTGGAATTTTGGGGTTTTTTGGGGGTTTTAATGGGATTTTAATGGGATTTTTTGGGAATTTTGGGCTCCCAGGTCAGGCCCAGCTGGGTCCGGCGGCCACCGGAATATTTCGGGAATTTTGGGAAAATTTGGGAAAAATTCGGGAATTTTTGGGTGGAATTTGGGTGGAATTTGGGAGAATTTTGGGGTTTTTTGGGGGTTTTAATGGGAATTTTGGTGAAATTTTGGGCTCCCAGCTCAGGCCTGGCTGGCCACTGAGTTGGGTCCAGTGGCCACCGAAATATTTCGGGAATTTTGGGAAAATTTGGGAATTTTTGGGTGAAATTAGGGTGGAATTTGGGGGAATTTCGGGGTTTTTTGGGGGTTTTAATGGGATTTTAATGGGATTTTTTGGGAGTTTTGGACTCCCAGGTCAGGCCCAGCTGGGTCCGGCGGCCACTGAAATATTTTGGGAATTTTGGGAAAATTTGGGAAAAATTCGGGAATTTTTGGGTGAAATTTGGGTGGAATTTGGGGGAAATTCTGGGGTTTTTTGGGGGTTTAAATGGGAATTTTGGGGAAATTTTGGGCTCCCAGGTCAGGCCCGGCTGGGTCTGGTGGCCAACAAAATATTTTGGAAAATTTTGGGAAATTTTAGGAAAAATTTGGGAATTTTTGGGTGACATTTGGCAGAATTTCAGGGGTTTTAGGGTATTTTAATGGGATTTTTGGGGGAATTTTGGGCTCCCGGCTCAGGCCCGAGCCGGGTCCGGCGGCCACCGAAATATTTTGGGAATTTTAGGAAAATTTGGGAAATTTTGGGTGGAATTTGGGGGATTTTTTGGGGGGATTTTTGGGAATTTTTGGGTGGAATTTAGGGGATTTTGGGGATGATTTTCCCTAATTTTGGGTGCAATTTTGGGGGAATTTTTCGGATTTTGTGGGTGGAATTTTTGGGCTGATTTTCCCTGATTTAGGGATTTTCCAGGATCAGATTTTTGGGAATTTTGGGTTGATATTCACGAATTTTGGCGTTTTTCATGGTCAGTTTTTGGGCGATTCCCGTGGAATTTTGGGGTGTGATTTCCGGGAATTCCCGTGTGAAATTTTGGAATTTTTTGGGTTGATTTCCCCAAATTTTCCCTTTTTCCAGCCCCTCACCTCCCGGCGCTGCTCCGGGACCCCTTCGGCCGCGGCGTCGCCCGGAATTTTTCCCTGGAGCTTTTCCGGAGGGATCGGCCAGGCTGGGAGCGGCTGCAGAGGGGGGCGGGGCCAAAGGGGCGTGGCCTGAGCCTCTGACCACGCCCCCAACCCTTCTGTCCCGCCCCTCATTTGCATATTCATAATTAAACCATTTATTTTTGATTTTTGGGGTTGTTTCTATGGAAACGAGTGTGGCTTGTTGAGAAATGGGCGTGGCCTGAGTCTCTGACCACGCCCACACCTTTTCTGTCCCACCCCTCATTTGCATATTCATAATTAAACATTTTATTTGGGATTGTCAGGGTTGTTTTTATGGAAATGGGCGTGGTTATGTGTCAAATGAGCGTGGCCTAAAATCTCTGACCACGCCCTCGCCTCTTTTTGTCCCGCCCCTCATTTGCATATTCATAATTAAACATTTTATTTTTTGATTTTATTTTGCATTATCGGGGTTGTTTTTATGGAAATGGGCGTGGTTATGTGATAAAGGGGCGTGGCCTAAATCTCTGGCCACGCCCCCTCCTCTTTTGGTCCCACCCCTCATTTGCATAATCATGATTAAACATTTTATTTTGGATTGTCGGGGTTGTTTTTATGGAAATGGGCGTGGCTTGTTGGAAATGGGCGTGGTTATGTGACAAAGGGGCGTGGGCTAAATCTCTAACCACGCCCCCGCCTCTTTTTGTCCCACCCCTCATTTGCATATTCATAATTAAACATTTTATTTTGGCTTGTCGGGGTTGTTTTTCTGGAAATGGGCGTGGTTATGTGTCAAATGGGCGTGGCCTAAATCTCTGACCACGCCCCCGCCTCTTTTTCTCCCACCCCTAATTTGCATATACATAATTAAGCATTTTATTTTGCATTATTGGGGTTGTTTTTATGAAAATGGGCGTGGTTTGTTTGAAGTGGGCGTGGTTATGTGTCAAATGGGCGTGGCCTAAATCTCTGACCACGCCCCCGCCTCTTTTTGTCCCACCCCTCATTTGCATAATCATGATTAAACATTTTATTTTGGATTGTCGGGGTTGTTTTTATGGAAATGGGCGTGGCTTGGTGGAAATGGGCGTGGTTAATTAACAAATAGGCGTGGCCTGCGCCTCTGACCACACCTACAAACACTTCTGTCCCGCCCCTCATTTGCATATTCATAATTAAAAGTTTTATTCTTAATTGGGTGTGGTTGGCTGGGAGTGGGCGTGGTAAAAAAATCAGGAATTTGGGGGAGCAATATGTGAATTTTGAGGCGAAAAATTGGGAATTTCGGGGTAAAATTTGGGAATTTAGGGCTAAAATTTGGGAATTTTGGGGTAAAAAAGGGAATTTTCAACCCGAAAATTGGGAATTTTCGACCCAAAAATTGGGAATTTTTGACCCAAAAATTGGGAATTTTCCCTTTTCCCGCCCGTTCCCGTCTCCTCGCAATTCGGAATTTAGGGGGGGGAATGGAATTTTTGCGGAAAAAGTGGGAAATTTGGGGGAAAACATGGGGAATTTGGTGCAAAAAATTGTAGTTTTTTGGGGAAAAAATGGTAATTTGGCACAAAAAGATGGAATTTTGAGGTAAAAATTGGGAATTTGGCAGAAAAAGTTGGGAATTTTGAGGTGAAAGTGGGAATTTGGGGGGGAAATGGTATTTTGGGGGAAAAATCTGAATTTTGGGGGGAAAACGCGAATTCTGAGGTTAAAAATTGGAATTTTGGGGGCGAAAAGTGAATTTTTGGGGAAAATTGGGAATTTGGGGGGAAAATTGGGAATTTTGAGGTGAAAAAATTGAATTTTGGGGTCAAAAAAGGGAATTTTGTACCTGAAAATTGGGGATTTGTCTCCTCAGAGCCATTTCCCGCTCTTGTCGGTCTCCACGGCAATTGGGAATTTTGGGGGAAAATTGGGAATTTGGGGCAAAATTTGAGAATTTTGAGGTGAAAAAATTGAACTTTGGGGTAAAAAAGGGAATTTTTTACCTGAATATCGGGATTTTTTTCTCCCCGCAGCCATTTTCCACCTTTTTCGCTCTCCACAGCAATTGGGAATTTGGGGAGAAAAATGGGAATTTTGGGGGAAAAAATGGGAATTTTGAGGTAAAAAATTGGAGTTTTGGGTGAAATTGGGAATTTTGAGGTGAAAAAGTTGAACTTTGGGGTAAAAAAAGGGAATTTTTTACCTGAAAATTGGACATTTTTCTCCTCACAGCTGTTTCCCACCCTTTTTGGTCTCCATAGCAATTGGGAATTTGGGGAGAGAAATGGGACTTTTGGGGGAAAAAATGGGAATTTTGGGAGGAAATTGGGAATTTTCAGGTGAAAAAATTGAACTTTGGGGTAAAAAAGGGAATTTTGGGGTAAAAAAGGGAATTTTTTACCTGAAAATTGGGATTTTTTTTCTCCTCAGCTGTTTTCCCGCCTTTTTTGGTCTCCCTAGCAATTGGGAATTTGAGGAGAAAAATGGGAAT